AAGTTTTAACCTATGAATATGGCCTACTGAAGAAAAAGGACAAAACTGGAGGAAAAAGATTTTATAAATTATGTATTATTATAATGTGAATTTCTCGTATTTATCAAGGATTTTGTGTCTACTCAGTCGGTGTCTACTCAGTCGCGATAGTTTTGTGGAATGCGTTGGCATTCTTCTTGTGCATTCATCCATTGGCAATAACTGCATAAATTAACAATTCACTACAACGTAACTTGACACCACTCGGCATCTACTGTGTGAGCAATCCTGGTTTATCATCGCTTAACCAAACCTCTTGACCTCGTACGCTACCATAACCTCAGTTAATCCGCCTTGGTGTTTCGTAAGTTCCCATTCCGAAACAGTGAAAATCAGTTGAAGTCTTCGTCGCAGGTAGAAACTGATAGTTTTTAAAGTATTCAAAACTAGCATCATCGACTTCATTCATTGGCGTTTACAGAAGAAATCACTCAGCAAAAAAACCCAGTGATATATGTGAGATTTAATATTATTTAAAATGTGGTTTATTCGTGGTCGCTTCTTCATTCAAGTCGTCACGTATATGGCAACGTTCTCCGTGTTTTTCTCGGTAAGTATTCAATGTTTTTATGGTAATTTACGAGCACTCGTGATGTTGACGACTTACATTAATTCAATCAAATGTTTATATAAGAGATTTTACTACAGCAGATGAAACACGCTAAAACTATAAAAACTATTGAWATATTATTATTATATCAGTCATTGATAGTAAATTAATCGACTGGAATGCGTTTAGTGGTATATTTTKGGGGTATTAACTTATCAGAATATTTAACATATTAAATCTCCAAGCCTGTGCATGTAAGGGCCCAGTAGGTTATGAACAGGTTTACGCAATTATGTYACTGACCAAAGGTAATCAATTGGTTGATGTGCAGCAAATTAAATATATTGTATTAATAATTTCATAATGTCTAATATTCTAAGAACAACTATCCAAATTCTCTTGAAAACTTTTCAATATGTAATKTGTAGCGATCAACGCCTGAATGACCTCGGTGTTATTCCGCTTTTAAATGTGAATCAGTRTCACCTAACAATTCATTCGTATATTATATTTCCGTCTATTTGCTGATATTAGTTAATTTATAATCACTTAGCATGTATTTATTACACTGAAGATTAAAAAAAATACATAGAAATCTCACCACTCCCCCTAATACTGACTATCGATACTTGGTAGAGTAAGACTTCTGATATTGCACTTTCCATTTAGTAATATCTAATTTTTTTTTCTTTTCGATTCTTTGTTTATCCCTTTGAATTCCACAGCGATATTGATCTCTTATTTTTAAATCACTTTTCTTTCAATTTTGTATTTCATTTTTTCAATTTTTTCCCATTTGGATTCTTCCGTTCTTCCGTTCATGTGTTTGTTACTTTCCCTTCTCTCCTTTTTCTTTCATTTTTTAGCCCTTCATTAAATTATCCTGCCTGAGTCCTCCGTCATTCATGTTTTCATTCAACCATCCATTCATTTGTTTTAATTCATTTCTAAAATTCAAATTACTC